TGTTCGTTTGAGTCTCTCATGGGTCCTGGGGAGTATAGTCGTCTGTTGATCGGTAAGGGAAGAGACAAAATAATCGGAAGGAAAGAAAGGGGCAAAGGATCGTGAAACCGGAGTTTTTTTTTTTAGATATTTTAACGGAAGAAGAGGCCGGAGTTTAAGTGCCAGCTTCTGCGATCCTGATGATGGGGACACACACACACACACACACACACACAAAAAGCCACCCTTGACGCCTACTTACATATGGCGAAATATTTTTTTTGCGGTCCTGCCACATGCTACCCGCAGCTGTTTCTATCGTAGTGCGATTTGCTTTTGGATGAGATTCCTACGAAAATGTAAGGCTATCCGACTGAAAAACAAGGCTACAATTTTTAATTTACAACCGGCGCTATGGTAACCGAGCACATATTCTCTGTTTACAAACACAGATTCCAAGCCTGGGAAAGTTCAGCTGTTGTTGTTTTTTTTTAAAAAAAAAATTAAATAAATATATAAATGTAGAAGCCTCTCTTGAAGATTTCATGAGTAGCACTGAAAAATGATTCGAACCGGTCTTGAAGAAAAGGAATAGACCCACGTTTCAGTACCAGAGATATTCTCCATCTTCAAATGGAGTTAAGCGAATGATATTTTTACAGACCACGATAAGATCAGATCGGTGAAAAGAAACCACTGTATGAGGGAAAAAAAACCACACCACAATTCTGAAAAGCCAGCAAATTCAGTTAAGAGTGCAAAATTGTATTTATTATATATTCTGTTTTAGGACCCGGAGCAAATTGGAAACCCCTTTCCAGAAGTGAATAAATTGGACGATGACCACCGTGCTTTTTTATTTTCCGCAAAGCCAAAATGGACAGAGCAATGGAACACTAAAAAAAAAATGTTTCAAAAATTTGTATTCCCCTGAAATAGGAGAGAAGATCTGGGCTAGCTGGCAAGCCTCCCTTTGAAATGTTTATTTGTCAAAGTTTTCTTAAATTTTTGTTTAAATGAAACGTGGGCGGTTATGTTCGCTCAGCTTTGCCAAGTCGTTATCTGTGGTTCCTCGTTTTTGTGCATTTGTGGTTTTGCCTGGGTGTGCAGGTGTGTTAACTGCTTCATCTGTGTTCTCTTCCTTTTTTCGTGTGTGTGCGCCCTGTGGTAAAATTTACTGCTGGATGTTTCAACGTTATTTAGGTCCCCTTGTCGGATTGTCTTCTTTAGATTGCAATACTTCCTGTAAAATGAGTGCTGAATCAAAAAAAAAAAAAAGGTAATTAAGAATGGCTTTATTTTTTGGCCATGGCCCTTTGCCCTGGATTTAGATTCTGACACAAACTGCTTTCCTTCCAGCCTTCTAGAAAATTCTTGTTTAGTTATGGCCACCGATAATCTGACAGCCCCTTTCAGATAGCATGTGTAACGTGTTCCTATTCTCCCTGTGGCTGCCAATAGCGAAAGTTTGAGAATCTTCTCTTAAATAATCCATAGGTTTTACAGTTACGCTGCTGTTTCGTAATTTTTAAACAGCAAAGTTTAAAGACGTGGGGTGCCTCCCTTTTGGACCGACGAACCACCGATAAAAAACTCATGTTCATTGGACACTCCTGTGGAACTTAATTTCTAGTACAGTTCTTACTTTTAAACCGTCGATGCACGGGGAGACAAAAGTAGAACGGTAATCTTTTTTTTTCCCCCCCCTCTACAACAAAATGACTGGGTTAGTCAGAGAAACAAAACTCTTCCAGTTCTACAGAAGGAAAGCCAGCGGTATGGAAACCTTTCAAGGACATTCTAGCAGGTGTGAAGAAAATAGCAGACGGTTCCCATAACGAAGAGGACACGTTTACATGAGCTACGTGGACATCTGGGGAGAGCTTGGCTGGGAAAGTCATTGTTATATACTATGGTCTGATGCCTTGGGATTTTAGTTTTACCTTGCCTTTACCAGGCCACGTATTCAATAAAACAATTAAGTTTTTCAGAAATGAGAATAATCCTGGATTTTTTTATTTGGCTACTTGAGCTGGAAAGTTGACAGATCTGAACTAGAAAAAGACAACGGGTCAATGGCAGAAAGACCAGCTATTCTGATCACCCTGTTGGTTTGTCAAACTCCTTTATCGCTGCTCCACAGCTAAAATCATAAAAGCTGTGTAAAAGCCGTGGATTTGTGTGCTTTTTTAAGGAGGAACTCAAAAGTCCAAGATTGAGGGAAACTAACCGACATTTCTTCATTCACATCCCTTCTTTCGTCTTTATACTGACTAATATTGAAAGCCAACATTGCTGGCTCAGGGACAGAAACACGCAGAGTGTGATTGTAGTCCTCCCAGAGCATAATTTCATGCACTCTACACAACAGCCAACTGTGATGAAAGCTGCTCAGAAAACGGTGATCAAGTTGGATCCAGATGAATCCAGATTCTGCTGACTGAACGGATTTTTTATTTTTGGGAGGGCCTACTGCCTTACAGGCCACCGCAGATGATAAGGTAGTAACTGGGTTGTTAAGCAAATCTGGCTCCATTGTCTTTGCTTGTCAGGAGGTCACAAAAGGGGATTACATCACCTTGGGACACCGCAACCGTCATACATACGAAACCCGTTCCCGAGCATCTGAATTGCGATCCCGTGATCATGGGGATGCTGCAAAGGCCGTAACTGTGAGAAACGGCCACAAGTCACATTTTTTTCAGTGCTGTTGTAACTTGGAACGGTCACTAAATGAATTTTTGTAAGTTCAAGGCTTGCCTGTACAATTTCTTCCTTTGGTCCAAACTGGACAAATTGTAGCTCAATCCTCAAGGGCCCCATTTTAGGATGGGTACGCCTTCAGTCACTAAGAGAGTTCTGCTCAACCCCAATGAATTATTAAAACTCTTGACGTTTACATATTTTATTATTATTATATTATTTGAGATGACTGCGTGTTACAGGATACCGACAGCTGTTAGACATCTGTGTACACAGATACATTTTTTTCCTTGTAAACACAAATGCATAATATAATAGTATACAGAACAGAAATGTCCTCCTGTTCCTTCGTCTGAAAAGTAGCTTATTTGGAAACCAAGTTATCCTAAGGAAGTGTTCAGCCCTCTTGTGTGATGAGGTTTTTTTTTGTTTTTGTTTTTGGCAATCTGACTCGTGATTTCTGAAATAATTGGAACACGTAAAGGAAACGCACAAAATTACTCAGCTGAAAACTAAAGAGATGGGAGCAATGCTCTGGTATATTTTGAATACGCGAGGGTATCCCGAAAGGATAAAAATGATGGGATTCACACATTCCAGCATTCTTTAGAGAGTGTGAGATGACGAACAAAAAAAAATAATAAAATAAAATACAATCATGTAATGCGCTGCTTGCAAGAAAGCTCTGTAAAAAGTCAGCTCCGTTCCGAAAACACTGTGCCAAAATTGAAAAAAAAAACCACATCTGGGTTTAGCTTTTATACTCTTTGGAAAAAAGACAAACAACCTTAGACCTTTTTTTTTTTCCTACCCTGACGGAGGAGAAAAAAAACAAACACAAATACACAGAGAGTAAAGATTAAATATGAGACGACACATTTCACGCAAAAACAGGAATATAAGTTAAAAATTCTGTTGGGGCTAATGCAGATTCAACACTCATTTTCTCTTAACTTTGGTTCACAAACTGGATCTTGCCCCTTTCCCCTCTCAAACTATGTGTCTTCAGTTAATAATGGTGGTTAATGTAACCAAGATTTCTGGTTTACCGTGGCTTGGACTATAGAATATGAAGATAATGATAGTGTACCATCAAGTCAGTGTCAATTCTTCACGGCCAACAATTAAGATTGTCTCCCAGAGGATCTGTCCCTGGTGCTTTAGATTTTCCAGCAGTGAGATCTGAAGAATCCTTGTTAATATTGACTAAAGACTCGAGGACCGTAACAGTTTAAATGGAATTAAAGTGGAAGGCGGAAATTTGGTCTACCACTAGGGAAGGGAAAGACTGCAGATACAAATTATGCATTTGAAATTTATTCACCATGGTTAAGTACTGGATGGGTGGCGGAAATAAAGTTTTTGATGAACGAAGTAAAATTTATGGAGCAAGGCTAAACTGGTTCTGTTTGTGCCAGTTCCGTTCAAAACATCTGGAGCCCACGTTAAGATAACAACAGAAGGAATGCGATGGAAAACAAATTATATGGGTGGATATTCTGAGATCAGGTCTCTAGTTTCTAGGATAGCAAAGTTTTCTATTGTGCTAACGGTAAGAACAATTTAACCCTGATTTTTTTTGTCTTTTTTTTTTTTAAAGAACACTTATTTTTCTATAACCACAGAAGAGTAAGTCTATTACTACAGGTTTTCAAAATGGTGTTTTTGGTCCGTTATCACGCTTGGTGCCAAACCAATTTCCTACTGCCAATTCAACCTGAACGCTTAATGCGAGATCAAGCGCAGGCATTTTGGGAAGAAAAAAAAACAAGTGCTTCACAAACCTTGTGCTTCTTGCTCTAATTTGCCTTTTTCTTAGCAACAACCACAGGGAACAAAAGCCGCTAGTGAAACAACAGGATTTTGCTCACCACCCCCGTTCCACGATTGAGACGTTATTCGGAACACTTACGGAAGGCGTCCCAGCGGCTGCATCAAATCTAAACGAAATTCTTGGAGAAATATGTCCTAAAATAGTTTTTTTTAAAAAAACATCTGCCAGGGAGGTCAAGGGGACTCAAAATGGCAGCCACGGACTATATCATTGTGACCAACATCTTAGGCTGTTTTTAAACCCCTTGGGATGCCACTTTTAGTAAGACGTTAAGAACGGGACAAAATCCGTTAACACTGTTCGTCGTCAGAAAAGGGGAGGAAAACATTTTAGAAACTAAAAAGTAGGTTTAAATTTAGGTCAATTTCAAAAAGTAAAGGGGAGGTTTTCCCATTCTTGAAACTCCTGTTTGCTCCGACCAGTTGTTGCTACTCAAAGAATGAGCTGAGGGGGAGGGACAATCAACTCTCTTTGGACACGGGGGTGGGGGGTGTCCTTCCTGCATCGGTTACCTTCCGGGAAGCAACTTGTTAAACTATCAAACTCTGTCCATAAATTTGGTCGCTGAGGGTGAAACCATCCAGTTAGCATAAACACTATCATTTGCATATCTTGAAAACACAGCCTTAGGCCCGTCGCTTCTGGCAAGTGGAACAGGGCTCTCTTCGGGCCAGTTCGGATATGACATGCCTAAAAATGAAAACAGATAATTTTTTCTGCACTGAAGAAGTGACACTTCACGTGCAGACAGAAAAGCCCTTGACAAAACTCCCGTCGCAAATTGCAAGCCAATTGACAAGATTTGACGCCTGCCTTCCCCAGAAAACTCAAAAGCTGTTTTTTTTTTTCAAGGAACGGGGACCCAAAGCTAAAACCCCACAAAAATAAGAACTTTGATGCAACCTGCTAATACAGGGGTCCCCAACCTTCGGGCCGTAGACCGATACCGGGCTGTGGCATGCCAGCAACCAGGCCGCACAAACAAGCAAACTGCGAGAATGCAGGCAGCACACAAAACCACGTCCCCGCCGGTCCATGGGAAAACCTCTCTCCACGGAAGCGGTCCCTGGTGCCCAAAAGGTTGGGGACCTCTGTGCTAATAGGTATGCTCTCAAGAAGCTCTTTTTTTAAAAATGGAGAATATTTTTAGGGGAATGCAAAAACACGGGAGCTTTTGCAGTGGCGCAAACGAGAATCAATCTCACAATTTGAAAAAAAAAATCTTAACGTCTCCGTGTGCATGTTTCAATCAAAGACACTGATCATCTCACCGGGAGAGGAAGGCAGGAAGGTTTATTTGCGTGTTTGTTTGTGTGTGCGTATGTATGTGTTTACATGCACACACATAAGTGTATATAAATGTGTTTGAGAGCCCGGAACGTACTCCATAAGGCCACTGAAAATGTATATAAGCAAAAACTTGATTCTGGCTTTTTTGTAAATGGCTTAATTTGATGTTTGTCTTTTTTTTAAAGAAAAAACCTGTAAGGTGCTCGTAGTTCTTTTGGAATTAGGCAGGGGTAATTATAATACCCAGCACAATTCCTTGATCCCACTAAGTCAAGTATCTTATAGGGAATTCTAATCCTGACCATTGAAAAGTTCTCACCCACTTCCCCCCAAAAATCCGGGATTTCAAAAAACGGGATTAACTAGGCATGAAAATTATTTAAGTGCCTGGCTAGGAATTTGAGAATTGGGACTCCGGGATTAAGCACCTCCACGTGACAAATAAATCGAAAGGCACGGCTTGAATTAAAGTCATTTCAAGGCATTGATGGCACGTGCAACGTTTAATTAGGAGATCAAAACGTAGGAGTTTTGGCAAGATCTGTCTTTACTGTCCATCTCACCAACACAATATCAAAGCACATTCCTTCTAAGACACTTGAAACCACATTCAAAACAGGGCGTAGAGGCCAACATTTTCGTGGAAAAAAAAGAACCCCCAAAGCATGTGAAAACAGCAATGGTTGTTTTCATTGGGATCCTCAACAATTCTCTATCCAGCAGTGGTGACTTTCCTACAGTTTCGGCTGAGTCTTTCAGCTCTCCCCCCAGAAGCATCTGAAAAAACTCCTGTTACTCAGTAAGCAGGCATGACTGTACAGAAACATAACATACACAGGCAACATTTCTGATTGTGGACTCCATTCAAATCCAAACAAGAGCGGACTCTAAACAGTGAAAAGGAGAGGATCAACTCAAACTTTGAAGCGGTTAAAAACGGTGATGCTGAAAAAGAAGAGACCACCTCAAAAAAAAAAAGGGGGGGGGTTAAATGCTCCAACCCCAGACATACACAAAAGGATAATTTTAATTGGATAATGGCCAGCATATATATTTTTTTTTAACTTCCCCTGAGAATGCTTCCCTGATTCTAGGATTTTTGTCTTTCTTAGACTATATATATCTACATCCAGATATAGATATATATATATAAGCATAGGTTGCACGTTTTCACATCCTTTATATATATATATATTGTAATTGTTGAACACAGCTGTAAAAGACGGCTAAAGGAACAGCCTATGGCAGAGCTTGACAGTGACAAATGAAAAAAAAAGGGGGAAGGGGGGAGTGGGAGTTAAAAACTTGCCAAGCAAAGTTTGATTGGTTTCATACCAACAAATAATACTCGATGGGGCATTACAGAGAGTGGTGAGGACAGTGCAGAAGAAAAAAATCAGTTTTGGGAGGTGGTGTGTGGCTAGAATCTAGTAAATGCATGTGAAATTCTACCATAGAGTTTGTTTTCAATCCATGTGGAAGGAAGAGTTCGAGGCAGAGGAACGTTATTACAATCCACGAGGGGCGTCTCTTCTTCCGAGAGTCCATCATCGTAAAGCAGAGAGTCCGAAGGAGTGGAAGCGGCTAGATCTAAATAGTCCTAAGCCGATAAAAGAGAAAGAAGGTTAAGGACAAGAGGCCTTTGGCTCTCCGTTCAAGTCAAGTTGATCATCCTGAAGGACCAAAACTGTCAGGCACAAGCAACCAGATCCACATGGGTAGAGTTTGAGCTAACTACTTTATTGCATTCGGCCTATAATACAGGAATCTCCCTAGACTGTTTGCCTTCCCTTGAGATGGTGGCTCAGGAATTCTGGGAGTTGAAGTCCATGAGTCATAAAAGAGCCAAGGTTGCCTACCCCTGGGATAGACAAAGGTTCCATGGAAGTTCTATAGATCTCCTGCAGCGATTCAAAAGCTAATTCCCTGCTTTTGCTCCCTTCCCCGCCTTGTTGTACATTTTCCAGTAAAAACTCAATTTGGATGGCAATAGCAATAGCACTTAGACTTATATACCGCTTCACGGTGCTTTACAGCCCTCTCTAAGCGGTTTACAGAGTCAGCCTCTTGCCCCCCAACAATCAGGGTCCTCATTTTACCGACCTCGGAAGGACGGAGGCTGAATCAATAGCAGTAACACTTAAGATTTATATACCGCTTCACAGTGCTTTACAGCCCTCTCTAAGCGGTTTACAGAGTCAGCCTCTTGCCCCCCAACAATCTGGGTCCTCATTTTACCGACCTCGGAAGGACGGAGGCTGAATCAATAGCAGTAACACTTAAGATTTATATACCGCTTCACAGTGCTTTACAGCCCTCTCTAAGCGGTTTACAGAGTCAGCCAATTGCCCCTCAACAATCTGGGTCCTCATTTTAACGACCTCGGAAGGACGGAAGGCTAAATCAATAGCAGTAACACTTAAGATTTATATACCGCTTCATAGTGCTTTACAGCCCTCTCTAAGCGGTTTACAGAGTCAGCCTCTTGCCCCCCAACAATCAGGGTCCTCATTTTACCGACCTCGGAAGGATGGAAGGATAGAAGGCCGAGTCAACCTTCTTCACATTTTATACTTCCAAAAGTTGCCCAAAGGGATGCTACACGTTACACAAAATGTCCTTTGCTTCGTGAACTTGTGTGTTTCTAGTTACGCTTTCATTAAATTAAACGTAGGATATTTGATTACTATAATCAGAGTCGCCCCATGTGTGTGTGTGTGTGTGTGTGTACACAAAAGCGTTTTGTACTCTGCGCTTCCATCTGACCTCAAATGTTTTCTTAATCTAAATAACTGCAGCACATCTGATCACATGTGATTAGCTGGGCTTTTCTCCCTGCCTGCCTTTCCAATATCCTTTCTTTAAATCTCTCCCTGAGCAAAGTTCTCTTCAAATGGGATAAAAGACGCTGTAGAGAGATTTACCCATCAGCCCCCACTTGGTAATGAATTTTGTAAGGTCCTTACCCGGCTTTTCACCATCAGTTTTTCTAATTCTTTACTGATCTCAGAAAATGTTGGCCTCTTATCTGGTTCCTGTTTCCAGCAGCGAAGCATCAAATTGTACCTTGAAGAAAACAAGCAAACTTTGAAACTTCAAAGGAGGAGGAAGAGGAGGACGATGGGATCCTTGGTGCTCTTTTGAGCTTGGTTGTTTTCTTGCAGACATTTCATTACTCCATTAGGTAACATCATCAGGGCTAGAAGGGAGTGGGGTTTGTAGGGAGGAGGAGGAGGAGGAGGAGGAGGAAGGAGGAAGGAAGGAAGGAAGGAAGGAAGGAAGGAAGGAAGGAAGGAAGGAAGGAAGGAAGGAAGGAAGGAAGGAAGGAAGGAAGGAAGGAAGGAAGATAAAAATTGTGGGGTCCTTGGTGTTCTCTGAGCTTGGTTGTTTTCTTGCAGATGTTTCATTACCCAACTAGGTAACATCAGCAGTGCAAGTAGGGGATGGGGTTTGCAAGGAGAAGGAGGAGAAGGGGAAGGGAAAGGGAAAGGGGGAGGAGAAGGAGGAGAATAATTCCCAGATTCCAACATTTGTATTCAATAAACAGTAAGGTTTTCGGAAACAGAATGAACCTGGAGTTTTATTTGGATTCTGGAGCTGGATGTTGACAGCAATGTAATTATGGTTCAGGGACTTAAGGCCTAGACCAGTGTTCACCAAGGATGAAATATGCAAACCTGTGGACCCAAACCATTAGAATTTTCATCCATGGCCGTCTTCAACAATGGCATTAAAGTTCATCTTTAGAACTACCAACAGAAGACAATGTTTGAAGCTCGGGACTGAACTACAGATTTCTAAGCTCGGTTGTTTTCCTGCAGACATTTCATTACCAAACCAGGTAACATCTTCAGTGCACATCTTCAACTACTGCCCTGAAGGTATTACGTAGCTGGGTAACGAAATGTCTGCAAGGGAACAACCAAGCTTAGAGAGCACCAAGGACTCCACGTCTAGAAGTTGCTAAGATTAGGAAACTGAATTAGGGCAAACCAGGGAATTGTCCTTCCTGTGGTACAACAGACTTCGTGCCTTTTGGAGATTATGTTTAAAAGTTTAAAGGCTGTCCATGTTTGAGTTTCTACTCAACAGTGAGGAAAATAACTCCTAGATAGTTCAGGCACACATATATTGCATTCACAAACCAGCAGAAGCCAAGGAGCTGATTGATGACCTTGGCAGATGAGAATAGAATAGAATAGAATAGAATAGAATAGGAATAGAGTACAATAGAGTAGAGTAGAGTAGGAATAGAGTAGAGTAGAGTAGGGATAGAATAGAATAGAATAGAATAGAATAGAATAGAATAGAATAGAATAGAATAGAATAGAACAGAGTCGAGTCGAGCCGAGCCGAGTCGAGAAGAGATAGAATAGAATAGAATAGAGTAGAGTAGAGTAGAGTAGAGTAGAGTAGAGTAGAGTAGAGTAGAGTAGAGTAGAGTAGAGTAGAGTAGAGTAGAGTAGGAATTGGAATTGGAATTGGAATAGGAATAGAGTAAAGTAGAGTAGGAATAGAGTAGAGTAGGGATAGAATAGATAGAATAGAAATAGAGTAGAGTAGAGTAGAGTAGAGTAAGAGTAGAGTAGAGTAGAGTAGGAATAGAGTAGAGTAGAGTAGGGATAGAATAGAATAGAATAGAATAGAATAGAATAGAATAGAATAGAATAGAATAGAATAACAGAGTTGGAAGGGACCACCCAAGCAGGGGACCCTACACCATTTCTGACAGATGGCAGTCCAGTCTCATCTTGAAAGCTTCCAGGGATGAATCTCCCACAACTTCTGAAGGCAAGCTGTTCCACTGGTTGATTGTTCTCATTGTCAGACAATTTCTCCTTATTTCTAGCTTGAATCTCTCCTTGATCAGTTTCCATCCATTGTTCCTTGTCTGGCCTTCAGGTGCTTTGGAAAATAGGTTGAATCCCCCTCCTCTCTGTGGCAGCCCCTCAAATATTGGAAGACTGCTATCATGTCTCCCCTGGTCCTTCTCTTCACTAGACTAGCAATGCCCAGTTCCTGCAACCGTTTTAGCCTTCAGTCCCCTAATTGTCTTTGATGTCTTGATGATGAACTGGAGAGCCCCTTTTGTCCTTTGACCCCCTTATGGATGATTATGGTTTATCCAACATGCAGAAATCTAAGAGAAAATAGCTAAATGTAAATCCTTCACGGGGTGGATATAATCCTTCTGATTAGCAACATTGGTTATCTGAGGTTACTTACATCTCCTCACTGCAGTTTTCCGGCTTTTCCATTCTATAGCCTGTTTTTAAGAGGTTAAAGAGCCTCTCTGGAGCAATTCCTGGATATGGGTTCCCTCCGAGGGTCACAATTTCCCATAACAGCACTCCAAACGACCACCTAAGGGGGGAAAGAACAAAAAAAAAATCGGAAGCAGTTAGTTCTGCAGATCAAAGAAACCTTGCACAATATCTCAAAAGAACTGAGGGCAAACCCATCGGAAGGAATTCTATTTTTCTTGCCAGCTTTCCAAACTTTCTTTCTTTCTTACAGTCAAATGTCGAGGGGCAACAGACAGGCTGTATCAAAATCTCTCTCTCTCCCTCTCCCTCTCCCTCTCTCTCTCTCTCTCTCTCTCTCTCTCTCTCTCTCTCTCTCTCTCTCTCTCACACACACACACACACACACACACACACACACAAAACAGAGGGGTTTTTTTGCAAGTGTGCTGCACTGTTTTAGAATCACAAACATAAGAAGTTTTTAAAAAAAGGTATATAATTTTGGCTCTCAGATAAACTTAAATTTGGTCATTACCCAGAGGATAGCATATGGGGTCCTTGGTGCCCTCTGAGATTGGGGGTTTTCTTGCAGATGTTTCATTACCCAACTAGGTGACATCATCAGTACTAGAAGGAAGTATGGAAAGAGGAGGAGGAGGAGGAGGACTGTGGTGTCCTTGGTTGTTTTCTTGTAGACGTTTCATTACCTAACTAGGTAACATCATCAGTCCTAGAAGGGAGCATGAAAAGAGGAGGAGGAGGAGGAGGAGGAGGAGGAGGAGGAGGAGGACGACGACGACTGTGGAGTCATCAGTCCAGTCCTAGCCGGGAATAAACAAAATGGAGACTGCCTTAGAAAGAAGGGTGTGGTTTATTGAAGAGGAGAGTCAGACGGAAAGATGGCTCTGGGTAAGCTGACCACATGTTGCTGAGGGTGGTTGGTATTTATACCTTCTTGGGCTTTTGTGTTTGGAGTTGTTCCCGTGGCATGAACTTTGACCTTGATTTTTGTCTAAGTGAGTTTGCACAGAATGGCCTAACTAAATTTTGCTTTGTGTTGCTTCATGTACTGTAGAGAAAGCTGATGGCTCTTGAATGTAGAATTCCATAAGTGAGAAGTAGTATAATATAGTTACAAAGCAATTTATTAGCTGTGACAACGAATTTAAAAGTGGTTTTCGGGCTAGTTCTGCTCTGTTATAAAAGCCCAGGAATATAGAAGCTTAAAGGATTTTTTCCCCCAAAACTACTTTGTAATACGCAACATTTAAAGTAAGTCAATTTTGTGCCAAAACCTGGGGGAAAACAAATTGTCAGGGGGATGAGAAGAGACACTGTTATTTGTGTGTTAATTATACAAACACAGAGAAATGCTTCTCAAGTAGTTTGGATATAAAAGAAACTCTGTCCTAATGTGGATTACAATGGGGTGATTAGAGTCAATTGTTATCTCTGAATGATATATTTAGTTGAGTTTTTCTTCCAAGGTTGCTAAGTAATGGGAATTTCTGCCAGGATTCGTAAACATGCAGATAGACCTGAGATGAGCATCATGATTTAAAATTCCCTAAGATATGAAATTACTCCCTAAATTAATAATACCTCTCTGTGTTACCACTGGACGTAATAGATACTCTGAATTTTGATCCTTGGGGAAAGTTGGAAACTTCCCAAGAGCAATTATATGATCTTCCTGTTTTTTTTCCAGCATTTCAACAGTATTTCTCTTGCTTATGTTGGCAAAATGGAACAAGTGTGAAAGACTATCAGGTTTAGTGTGTGTACTATTCTAAGGTCAAATATAGTCATTAATATGCTATTTATGGACCTGCCCTGTATTTATTTCCTTACAACTTTAACTGTTTAATAATGTCCATCTGGGAGAAGCCAACAGCCTGGAGACCAAATATCGTCTCCAGAGAAACAGTCAAGATATTATCAATATTTTGCTCAATCTCAGTCTTCAGAGCTTGGTAGATATTTATCATGATTCTCATATCATCTCAGAAATCACACTTCAACCTGGTCCAGAATCTCATTATCACACATAAGACAAAAACAGCTACACAGAAGCTTGATTCTACCAATGGTTTGCTGGATCAGATCTAAGGTTAATCTAGTGCAGCTAAAGAACTTCATAATTGCAAATCGTAAACAGATCTATTCTTTGTCCAGGATCAATCTTCTTCCTCCGTGGGTGCAAAGTCTACAGAAGCTCACAAACATTTATTTTTTTAAAAAACAATGCATGGGATTTATAGGTAGAAGTACTTGGTATGTCTGGTTTAATGAAAAGAAGAACTAGGGGGTGACATGGTAGCAGTGTTCCAATATCTAAGGGGCTATTGCAAAGAAGAGGGGGTCAAATTATTCTCCAAAGCACCAGAAGACAGGACAAGAAGCAACGGATGGAAACTAATCAAGGAGAGAACCAACCTAGAACTAAGGAGAAATGTCCTGATAGTTAGAACAATTAATCAATGGAACAACTTGCCTCTAGAAATTGTGGGTGCTCTATCTCTGGAGGTTTTCAAGAGGAGAAAGGAGAACCACTTGTCTGAAATGGTTGTCCAATCTTCTCTTGGAAACCTCCAGAGAGCAGGGACTAGAAGACCACCCCTTCCAACACTGTTATTCTGGTGCTAACGGATAACCATTCTAAATAATCAATTTTAGTTGATACCCTTACCACTGTTTATCTGCTGTTTGCTGCTAGACATACAGAAATGTGGACATGCTAACATTTGCTGGAGACGTGTCTCCAAATAAATGCTTATTAAATAACCCAGTTAGGCTAAATTTGTGACACTTCTGTCATCACGTTGGGATTTGTGTTTTCTTTTGGGTTGCTTCAGTTAAAGTTGGCTACTTCCCAACGGTCTGTGGTTTCTTCATCCCCCGCTGATTGAAATACGAGCACAACTATTCACTGCTCAACATCCTTCTTTTTTTTTTCTTTTGTCTGAGAACACTCCGTAGCTCTGATGATGTATTGTGATACCCAAGAACCAGCCGTTGGTTTTCTTTAGCGCTCGAAGTAGACTCCAACCCTGTCTTCCTATTTACACAATTCCCCTAACCTCACTGCAGTTGACTCCAAGTGGCCTTCTGAAGGTCATGAGATCCTCCACCAAAGATGTTATGGACTCTCAAAGAAATTGTAAGGGGGGGGAGGGAAGAAACTCAACAGTTGTAGCCAGCAAACAGAAATAGATAAATTTTGTAACTTCTGAAAGAAGAATTTGTCATGGAAAGGTATTTTTTCCCATGCGATATGTCAAGCACGAAGGCCGTACATTATGATGCAGTTAAGAAGATTTATTGTTCAATTGATTTGCTTATAAAGGTTAAATGTAAAGATAATTAAGATATATATATAAGCTAAAAATCTATTGGTGAATGTAATAAATACGTTTTTACTTAGAGGGAATAATAAAAATTATTAGCTTAAATATGAGATAGTAGCTATTCAGAGAAAAAGAGAGGAAAGTATTAAATGTTGAAGTAAGAGAAATTTTGGTTACTAAATTTAAGATATTTGGAAGTTACCAGAAAATAAGAATATTACACTGTATTATTAATCGGTTGATGTAAGTTGGTGAGAATTCAAATAGATAAGACGTGTATCCTGAACATTAGATCTTGTGATGAATTGTGATAAAGGGAATTGGGGTTATTTAAAACTTGGGAATTATAAATATTAAACGTTAAATTTAAATATTAATGGGAAACTAAACATTGGGAAAAATTAACCAGGACATTGATTGTCTAAAAATATTGAACGTTAAAATAACTAGGATACATATAAACTAAAAATTATTGATAAATGTAAGAAAGTTATTTTTATTTAATCGATATAATAAGAATTGTATTAATTTAAATATGAGACAGTAAATACTAAGGGGAAAAGAGAGGAAATATTTAATGTAATAGTTTGAGATCTGTACTAAAAGCGATTTGTGTGTTATCGAATTATTGATCAACTCAGCTGCCACGTTGCTTTTCAAATATTTAAATGTAAAACTAAAAAATCAATAAAATTTTCTTTAAAAAAAAAAAGATTTATTGTTCAAGTCTATGCCCAAGAATCTAGCCACCTAACGTTCCATACTAAATTGGCACTAGATAAATCAATGGTATTCACGAGGGTTTGGACTGAGACCATTTGTGGGAACGCAAAGATTCTAGACTGATGACTTGCTTAACTCCACCCACCTGCTTGTCACCTTCAATAGCTGCTCAAATGAGTGAATGTAGTAGAGAAGAGCTTTTTTTTTTTTTACAAAAAAAGAGGAAAAAAAGAACAAGAGAGAATAACAGAATAACAGTTAGAAGGGACCTTTGATCAACCCCCTGCCCAGACAGGATACTCTAAACCAGGGGTAGACAACCTTGGCTCTTTTATGACTGGTGGACTTCAACTCCCAGAATTCCTGAGCCAGCCATGCTGAGGGGAAAGGGAGAGGTTTCCAAGCTGAGCCCTGCTGGCTCAGGAATTCTGGGAGTTGAAGTCCACGAGTCATAAAAGAGCCAAGGTTGCCTACCCCTGCCCTAAACCATTTCAGAGAGAGTTACTCTTTGTTGGAAACGCCACCTCTTTCCCCAACCTCCATTTTTTTTAATTGCAAAGAAGAACTAGGGGGTGACATGGTAGCAGTGTTCCAATATCTAAGGGGCTATCGCAAAGAAGAGGGGGTCAAATTATTCTTCAAAGCACCAGAAGGCAGGACAAGAAGCAATGGATGGAAACTAATCAAGAGAGAAACAGGATATTTGTATATAAAATCCGAAAAGCTAAAGAAGCTACTTTATTCATCTGTTGGATCAGCATTAAGTGTCTAGAAAGAGTACAGAGAAGAGCAACAAAGATGATAGGGGACTGGAGGCTAAAACATATAAGGAATTGGGTATGTCTAGTTTAATGAAGAGAAGGATGAGGGGGGAACAGGATAGCAGTCTTCCAGTATCTCAGGGGCTGGCCCAAAGAAGAGGGAGTCAAGCTATTCTCCAAAGCACCTGAAGGCAGGAGAAGAAGCAACAGATGGAAACTAATCAAGGAGAGAAGCAACCTAGAACTAAGCAGAAATTTCCTGACAGTTAGAACAATTAACCAGTGGAACGACCTGCCTCCAGAAGTTGTGAATGCTCTAACACTGGAACTTTTTAAAGAAGAGATTGGACAACCATTTGTCTGAAATGATCTAGGGTTGGACTGGAAGACCTCCAAGGTCCCTTCCAAATCTGTTATCAGTTGAAAAAAAATCAGTACAAAATAATAGCAAATGGCCTATAGGTCAGCATTCTTTCAGCGCTGCCATTTTCTGTGAGACAAATAGGGAATAACACAGGTTCCCGGGAGACACTCTAATGACATCATATAAGCATGACACCGTAATATAAAAACCACATGAATTGTGTCATTTGCCCAATTCGGAACATGGGGCAAATATTCATCACCTGCAAATGTTCGGGTAATGACACGACTGACACAAATGACACATTTTGAGCCATTCAGGCAATGATGCCCCAAGGATACCGCAAAGTCTCTCTTGCAACAAACACCATCGGCACCCATGGAGCTCCTGCTCAGATTTAAAGATACCCATTTATGATACCCATTTATGAGTCGGCCGGATGGAGGACCTGGATGCGGCCTGGCGGCACCGCGGCCCGGCGGAGGATCCTTTCTGAAGGATCGGCCGGGTGGAAAACCTGGCGGGGACGGAGGATCTGGCTAGGTCGGTGGTCGGCCGGGTGGAAGATCCGGATGCGGCCTGGTGGCCTGGTGGAAGAACGGGTAGGCCTCTTCGGCTGGATGGTGG